TGTTTCACTTACAGCCTCCTCAGCCTGTCTCTTGTAAGCTTTGACTTTGAGCTGCAGTTTATCCACCAGATCCTGAAGTCTGATCCCATTCTTCTTGTCCTCCTCAGTCTGAACGGATAAAACAATATCAATCATAAATTGCTAAAGTGTAACCAGTAGTTTGACAAAGTTAGTTCTTAGTAGGATCAAATTTACAGACCTGGTAGGTCAGCTCCTTCACTCTCCTCTCATATTTGCGGACTCCTTTAACAGCATCAGCTCCACGTCTCTGCTCAGATTCAACTTCAGCCTCCAACTCACGCACCTGTTCAAAGATGATAAATAGTTACCTATTTTAGAGCTTGGAAATATCCTCAGATTAATTTGCTGTGAGCGCTCCCAGTTTCTAATGTTCCTACCCTGGACTCCAGTTTCTGGAGCTGCTTCTTGCCACCCTTCATGGCGAGGTTCTCAGCCTCATCCAGACGATGCTGGAGGTCCTTGACTGTGACCTCCAGGTTCTTCTTCATCCTCTCCAGGTGAGCGCTGGTGTCCTGCTCCTTCTTCAGCTCCTCAGACATCATGGCAGCCTGAAATGATAAAAGGTTCCTTCCAATTTTAGAATTCACAAGATAAAAGATAAAAAATAAATCATTACATCAGAAGATTGGTACATTAGTGTCACTGGGCTTTAGACTTACATCAGTGATAGCCTTTTTGGCTTTCTCTTCGGCATTTCTAGCTTCCTGAACAGCATCATCCACCTCACCCTGAACCTGGACAAGGTCAGCCTCCATCTTTTTCTTGGTGTTCATGAGGCTGGTGTTCTAAGAATTGACCAAAGAAGATATTTTTATACAGTCTTCGTATCCGTGGTGGCAATCAGTTTTTTTATTGAATTATAAACTAACCTGTGAGTGAAGCAGTCCAACACGCTCACTAGCATCAACCAACTCCTGTTCAGCCACTTTGCGTCCTCTCTCCGTTTGTTCCAGAGCTGCTCTCAGCTCCTCAATCTCAGCCAACATCAGACCATTTCTGCGCTCCACCATGGCAACCTGCTCCTTCATGTCTTCCTGTCCTCTGAGAGCATCATCAAGGTGCAGTTGGGCATCCTGAGAATAAAAAACATGACTTGGTCTTGATGATCCTTCCTTTCAAACTCTGTGGTTTGATATCCACAGCCGTACAAAACTCACCTTGAGCTGTCCCTGGACATTCCTCAGTTGTTTCTGGGCCTCAGCAGCCTGCCTGTTGGCATGACTCAGCTGAATCTCCATCTCATTCAGGTCTCCCTCCATCTTCTTCTTGATTCTCAGAGCATCATTCCTGCTCCTGACCTCAGCATCAAGAGTGCTCTGCATGGAGTCAATCACCCTCTGGCTGTTTCTCTTGATCTGCTCCATTTCTTCATCTTTCTCTGCCAGCTTCCGGTCAACTTCACCTTTGACCTGGTTGAGCTCAAGCTGAACACGGAGAATCTTGGCCTCTTCGTGCTCAAGAGTTCCCTTAAAAAATTAAGACACAAAAGATTAGCACGAATGGGAAAAATAACCATTATGATTCTATTGCTTACATGATTACTGGTTTATAAAGTGGTTATGAAGATCCTACCTCAGCCTCTTCCAAGGCTGTCTGGATCTCTGATTTTTCAGTCTCCACAGTCTTCTTGGCTTTTTCCAGTTCATGAATGCTCTTTCCACTCTCACCAATCTGTTCAGTCAGATCTGAGATCTCCTCTGAAGAACAAATTAATTCATAAATCAATTACCTGTATATGATTCTGCTGTAGACATGGAAGCATTCTATTCTAAGATGAATTGCCGTTGTACAGTTCAGTGCGAATTCACAGTTTTTGTCTGACTTAAAATTAGTGTGTGGTTGTAATTATCAAATGAAATGTTGGCTTGGTACATTTGTTGATGTAGTTAAGAAGCTGACATACGCTGCAGGTTCTTGTTCTCTCTCTTCATGGTCTCCAGCTGATCCAGAGCCTCTTCATAGGAGTTCTTCATCTTGAACAGCTCAGTGCTGAGAGAACGGGCCTCCTTTTGGGCTCCTTCCAGCTCTGCCTGGCCCTCCTCATACTTCTGTTTCCACTCTGACAGGACCTACATTTGCAAAGGTTCAGTCACATTAGCAAATAATGGATCTTTATATCTGATAATTTTAGTGTCCAGATCAGAAATTGACCTTATCAAAGTTCCTCTGCTTCTTGTCCAGGTTGGCAGCCAGAGCATTAGCTCTCTCCACATCAATCATGAGGTCCTCCACCTCCCCCTGCAGCCTCTGCTTGGTCTTCTCCAAAGAAGCACACTTGGAGTTGACCGCCTCAATGGATTCCTCAGCATCCTGAAGGCGCTGGGCAAGTTTTTTCCTGCATTGAACAGAATTTTAACCTGTAAAAGTGGACTATTGATAACAAAGTCGTTTAAAACAATAGCACTTTGGAGACTAACTTTGCCTCCTCCAGCTCCTCAGTGCGCTGAATAGCATCAGTCTCATATTTGCTTCTCCACTGAGCAACCTCACTGTTGGCCTTGGACATTCCTCTCTGCAGCTCAGCCTTTGCCTCCTGCTCCTCCTCAAACTGCTCTCTGAGCAGATCACAGTCATGGCGGGCTGACTGAACACCATGGGCCAGTGCGTTCTTGGCCTGGCAAACACAGTCAGAGTCAGAGAGAAATTTTGCCGACTTGACTTCCAAATCAGCAAAATTGGATTGAAAAATCTTTTTTGTATTGGATTATGAGGCTGTGCATTAGTTTTTTTTACCTTCACTTCTTCTTCAATGTGTCTCTTGAGCTCCTCAATTTGCTGAGTAAAGGCCTGTTTTCCTCTAGTCAGCTGAGAAACAAGAGCTTCTTTCTCCTCTAGCTGGCGCGAAAACTCACCTGCGGGAAGATGAATTAGTTAAAGTGTCACAAAATGATAAACCACATGCAGACAGTTTTTCACGAGGAGTGACTCACCGTTTTCAGTTTGAAGTCTTGCCCTCTGTGCATTAATATCATTCAACTGACGGACGTTCTCATCATTTTTGGATTTGAGCTCACTCAGCTGGTCCTCAAGAGTTCTGCACATTTTCTCCAAGTTGCCCTAAAATCACAATACAAAATGTACAACAATGCGTAGTTTCCTTTTCACATGTTTCAAACCAACTGATTATTCATTAGATATAGTTTATATTGATCACCAAACCAAGTCCTCACCTTTGACTTGGCAACAGCCTCCATATTGCTGGAGAGGTCATCAATCTCCATCTTGTACTCGCTCTTCTCCTTCTCCAGCTTCTGTTTGACTCTCTGGAGGTTGTCGATCTGCTCTCCCAGCTCTGCAACACTGTCAGCCTGCTTCTTGCGAAGAGCTGCTGAAGTAGCTTCATGCTGCAGGGTGGATTCTTCAAGGTCCCGACGCAGCTTCTGGAACTCAGCCTCACGCTTCTTGTTCATCTCAATCTGAGCGGCTGTTGCTCCTCCAGCTTCCTCAAGTCTTTCACTGATCTCCTCAAGTTCCCTGGAGAGGTCAGCCCTCTGCTTCTCAACCTTAGCCCGAGCGGCCCTCTCAGCCTCAATCTCCTCTTCCAGCTCTTCAATACGGGCCTAGATTTAAGTATGACATGATATGGAGAGTGAATATGGTATTAAGCTTGTTCTGAGACGCCTTTTGGAAATTAAGCAATAGCCTGAGAGATACTTTTGATTTAGTTTTACCTGCAGTTCCTTGATCTTCTTCTGAAGCTGAGCACCAAGAGACTGTTCATCCTCAATCTTGCTGAGAAGTTGGCTGATTTCAAAGTCTTTCCTGAATGTATAAAAAAAATATAAGTCTAGTTCTTTATCAACTTGGTTACAGGAGTATATTCTATGACTAAATTGCAAGCATTTACTTTTTTATTTTCTCATCGGACTGCTGCTTGTCATTTTCCAGATCCATAATGGATTCCTGGGCCAGTTTCAGATCTCCTTCAAGTTTCCTTTTGGCTCTCTCGAGGTCCATACGAAGCTTCTTCTCTTGCTCCAATGAGCCTTCAAGCTACGAGTTACCAGGTAAGGGTATTTGTATTTTATTCAAGTATTAAAAGGAGCAACAATATCAACGTGACAATATAAGTTTCTTACGTCATCGACTTGCTGTTCCAGCTTTGTCTTGGCCTTGGTCAGAGTGTTGACTTTGTCTTCCTCTGCCTGGAGATCGTCCAGTGTTTGCTGATGGCTCTCTTGGAGGGCTTTCTTCTCCTTGGTCAATTTGGCAATGGACTCATCTTGAGATGCCATCTCCTCTGTCAGGTTTTTCACCTTTGAGTTGCATAACAAATTTGGAATTCACTATAAAAGCTACATATGGAAACAATTCTGTCATATTTGTAGCTGATAAGAACCTTGTTTTCGGTGGCGTGTTTCTCCTTCTCCACTTTTGCCAAGGTGAGCTCCAAGTCATCAATGTCTTTCTTCAGCTCAGAGCATTCATCCTCCAGCTTCCTCTTCTTGGCAGTCAGCTCAGCATTGATCTCCTCTTCATCCTCCAGTCTCTCAGTTGTCTCTTTGAGTTTGGCCTCAAGCTGGATCTTGCTCTTAATGAGCCCCTCACACCTTTCCTCAGCATCTGAGAGGTTCTCACCTTCCTATAATTTGTACAATAATTATATTCAGTACATATGTATTGATCCAGCACATTTTCTAAAGTTATCAAAACAAAATAATAAATTGAAACATTGTTTTATAAAACAGATCTAGCCTCATGTCACATACAGCTGCCACTTGGAGTTGCAGGTCATTCTTCTCCTGCAGCAGGGAAACCATCTTCTCTTCCAGCTCCTTCTTTTTGGCCAGAGCAGTAGCTAGATCTGATTGCATTTTGTCATAGTTCTCTTTCATCTGCTGCAGCTCCTTCTCAGTCTCAGCACTCTTCAGAAGAGGCTTGATTTTGAAATACAGTTTCAGCCATGGCCAGTTCTTCACATTCATGAATGACCGGATATTGTATTGGATGGTGAAGATAGATTCTCTGAAATAAAATAGTAAATTTAAATAGTTTTTTGCACTGACAACTGCTTTAAAATAATTTGAAATAGTTTTCCCACCTTCTCTCCATCATCTTCACAAACTCCTTTCTCATGACATATCCTCTGCAGAGAGCCTGAGTCATGGTCACCAGCTCAGCCAGTTTCTCATCTCTCATCTCCTCAAGGGTACCCAGCAGACCAGCTTTGAAGAACACCTTTTTTCAAGTAAAAGGAATCATTCATCAGTAAATATGAGCTCCCAAACATACTATGTCTGAGACTTTTTTATTTGTCCCTCCTAACTGTACCTTTGTGTGTCCAAACTTGTACTGAGTGTGGTCCACATCAATGGAGCCCAGCAGCTTCTCTGAAGCTTTCTTGTTGTCAATGAACTGTCCCTCAGGGATGACACTGGCATTCAACACTTTGTATCTTAAATGAAAAAGTCATTATATTAATTCTTTTGTCTTTTTCTAACCACCGGATACAATTTTCCTTTTTCTATAATGCATGTTGCTGTCACCTCTGCTTGAAGTCACCATAGAGGATTCTGCTGGGGAAACCCTTTCTGCAGATTCTGATGCCCTCCAGCACACCGTTACACCTGAGCTGGTGGATGACCAAGAAGTTCTCCATCAGACCTGAGAACAGAAAAAAATAAAAGTTTAAACATTTGTATATATGCTGCCTAATATCTGCTTAACATTTAACTTAATGACTTTGTGTATCAAACCTGGAGTCTTTGATTCATTGGGAATCAGGCAGCGCACAAAGTGAGGATGGGTACTCCTCAAGTTGGTCATCAACTTGCCCAAATTCTCCTGTAGATGAGAATGGTAATGATTTTTAAAGACTCACTAATCTATGATTTAATCAATCTGAAAATATGAAAACATACATACCCTGAACAGAGCAGACACTGTCTGGAAGGAACCACCCTTCTTCTTACCACCTTTCTTGCCACCACCAGCGGCCTCTGTTCATAAAATGATTTAATTCACCTCTTGTGACTGAGTAATGTCAACTGTGTCTTATCATCTTCGTGAATAATAAAGACATATAGATATTTGTCACATTTGTTACTGCTTTTTAGTTTAGTCTTTACTTAGTCTGTTATCTCTTAATTACCTTCAGCTCCAGCATGAGCTGCATACAGGAAGGACAGTAGCTTGTTTGAGGACTTCTGGTAAAGCTGAACAACTGAGTCGTTCAGTGGGTCCTTGTTCTTGTCCAGCCAGCCAGAAATGTTGTAGTCCACAGTACCAGCATAGTGAACCAGGGCAAAGTGAGCTTCAGCCTTGCCCTTTCCAGGCTTTGGCTTTTCAAAGCCCTTACTCTTGCCAAGATGCTGATCATGGAGCTTGTTCTTGAAAGTTGTGTCAGAGGCCTTGGGGAACATGCACTCCTCTTCAAGGATGGAGAAGATTCCCATTGGCTGAGATCAAATCAAATTGCACCACTCAAATGAATTGTGTTTAATGCATAATAACAACAACAGTTACAAAGAGATCCTCATAATAACAACAACATTTACACAGAGATCCTCACTCTTTTCCTTATTAGCAGTGACTTACCTTCTCAATAAGCTCAATGCAGGCCGCCAAATCCATGCCAAAGTCAATGAACTCCCATTCAATGCCCTCCTTCTTGTACTCTTCTTGCTCCAGGACAAACATGTGGTGGTTGAAGAACTGTTGCAGTTTCTCATTGGTGAAGTTGATGCAGAGCTGCTCCAAGCTGTTGAACTGTAATCGCACAGAGGGGTTTAATTTCCTGGGGAAGAAATGTGCTGATGTTTAAAAAAATACTTGCTATCCAGCTCACATCAAAGATCTCAAATCCAGCAATATCCAAGACTCCAATGAAGAACTGTCTTGGCTGCTTTGTGTCCAGCATCTCATTGATACGTATGACCATCCACAAGAACATCTTCTCATACACCGACTTACAGAGAGCCATCACAGCATTGTTGACCTGTAAGAACAGATTTTAGCTTTACACCCCTCTTCATGACCAAGTATTTCTTTTTAGAGGAACGCATATCCTTCATACCAATGTTTTTTTTACTTAGTTACCTGTGGGACGGTCTGACCTTTGGTGACCATCTCATTTCCGACCTTGACTCTTGGGTAGCACAGAGCTTTCAGCATATCAGCTGAGTTCAGACCCATGAGGTATGCGATTTTGTCAGCCTCTGATTAAAGGAACAAAAAGCTGCTAGCAGAGCACTGGAATGTGTTAGTTCAATTGCACAATCCACCTCAATTTCTTGTATAAAGTTTTGCTAACTTTTTTACCCTCAGTTCCATCAGGCTCAGCCTGCTCCTCTCGTTGCTTCTGCTTGAATTTCATG